TATTTATTATTAAGATCCAAGAGTGTTTAAAAGTTTGGCGAATATATATTTTTATGAGAAAGAAACTAATCACATCAATAGCAAACATTTATTAAACATGGATTTGTTTGTGATGCTTGATAAAACTGTTTACAAATCTTATATTGGTTTTATGACATTAGTCACATGAAATTTATTTTTTCTAACTTAACTTTGTAATATTTGAACTATTTTTACGATTTCGTTACATAATTAATATATATATTCATTCCGTCTGTTTTTAAGTGATATTTTATAACATTTTGTTTGTTTCAAATTAAGTGATATTTTCAAATTTCTTTACAAAATTAATTGTGTTTTTATTGTTTTCAACTGTTTAAAATATTCATATTTGTTTTCCAGTTGGTTAAAGTGGTTTGGATAGATAAGAGTTGATGTTTATTTTTGAAAACAATAAAAAAACAAATTATTTCTTAATTAGAATGTATAAACCTAAAACATCATCTAATTACAAACATAATAAGTATTTATAATCTGTAAGAATATTTTTTCACTTACTTATATATATATGACTCCGCATGATATAAATTATGACATTAGAATTAGATATAAATTGATCTCTAATTTAAGATTCATGTTTAAATATTATTTTAAAGTATTCTTGTAATTCAGCAAATCATTAAATAGAACCGAAATATTTATATTAATACTTTTATTGTGTTTACCCGCGTAGCAACGCGGGTCCTAATCTAGTTTTTACATAAAATTCTAACTATACTATAACACAACATCATTTTCAATAAATTAAATATAATAATACACTAAACCGAATTGATATCAAGTTAAATTGATCCAAAACAAACCGCGCTAACTACACTAAATCGAACCAAACAGAAGTAATTTCTATTTAAATTTGGCTAGAATATTGTTAAATCCAATTAAACCGAATCGAACTGTAGCCAAATCGAACCCCAAAAAAACCGAAATGCCCATCCCTAATTTTTATTGGGTTAATTTGCTGTATAATCAAGAAAAAAAAATTATAACCTAAAAAGTGACCAAAACTCTACATCTAATAGCCATAATTTTACCACATATGCCATTTTGACTACTTTTTTAATTATAATTTTTTTCATGGCTATACACCAAATTGCCCCATTTTTATTTTTGGACTGGTTCTAATGATATTATAACCATTGTTTTCTTTCTTTGTTTTGGCTAAAAATCGCATCTAGGCATAAAACATATTTTCTTAAACATCAAATTTAAATTGCATTTAATGATATAATGATATATTAGTTTGACTACAACTACAATCAATACATTATAATTATTGAAAATTTTGAAATAAGAAAAAAAATAAGTTGACCAAAAATAAGCAAATAATATAATATAAGCAAACCATAGGTAAAATATATATAAAATATAAGCAAATATAAAAAAAGATATATAAAGAAAAAAATTACTCAAAAACAAAAGAAAGATATAGGATCCAGAGCATCCCATGGTTGTAAATATAGCGGGAGAAATTATCAATAGTAATCAAGGTCTAAATCAACAATAAAATCGTACGTTTGGGTATCGAATTTGAATTAATTTGAGGTTTGGGTTCAAATTGACCAATGTTAAAAGATCAGGTCCAAAAAGGCCCGATGACAATAGTCCTGTTCCAAAAAGGCCGTTTTCCCCCCTTAACCATGGCATGGAAAGTGCCGATCGTGGTTGGGTCCACTTCGAACGACGAACTAGAATCTCCATAGATGGAGATTATGATGATGTCCACGTCATCCGCTACCGGATCATCGAATGCAAATATCATTACGTCACAGTTGCACCCAAGGCCGGCCCTGAAGGCAAGCGGGTAAAGCACACGCTTGGTCCTTATATTTATTATAAAAAAACTCGGCCTTCAATTCCAAAACCCAATATTTCCCTTTTAAAACAGGTGATGTGTTCGAAACTTAAAACTATTTTTATTTTAAAATGTATTTTTTAAAGAATAAAGTAATCCATTTTTTTTTTACCTTGCGGCCCATTAAAACTTAAGGGCCGACCCTGGGTGCACCCAAAGCAACCGGATATTACAGCGCCGGGATCAGAGATCTTTGCTGCTTATTCTCCTGATGCTCCCCCGAGTGAATCAGACTACGGGAACCTCGATGGCTTGTCCGCACGTTGCTGGTGTAGCCGCCTACATAAAAACGTTTCACCCTCGCTGGTCTCCTTCCATGATCAAATCCGCCATTATGACTACCGGTAAGCAAATTAAGATCCACTATGCCTATCTATACTACTTTGCTCTTTTTTCTTGCAAACATAACTTTCTTGTATTGCAAGAAACTTTTATAATACTCTGTTTTGTTGCGGTCTCTTGCAGCTTGGTCAATGAATACATCTACTTCGCCATTCAACGAGATGGCCGAGTTTGCTTATGGGGCAGGCCATGTCGATCCGATAACCGCTATTCATCCTGGACTTGTCTATGAAGCTAATAAACACGACCACATTGCCTTTCTCTGCGGCTTAAACTACACTGGAAAGAACTTAAGACTCATCTCTGGTGATAGCAGCAGTTGCACTAAGACCATATTTATACTAAAGATGTCTGCTTAAAGTTCGTGTCCCATATGGACCACATTAACCATTTACCTTATCTATCAATGAATTCAGTTCTGACTAATATATATTTTAGTTCACTTTTACTAATATTTAAAATTCTTTATAGGTTGTGTATCTAGACGTTTTGATAGTAATCTATATATAATAGAAAACCCAAAAAATGATTATTTTTGGTTGTATCTTCTCGGTTTATATATAGTGGTTGTTTTTAAGGGTTGCGTCTTTTCATAAAAAAAATCATTTCGTGGTTATTTCTTAAAGTTGCGTCTTCTCGATATAACCATTTTGTCAAAAGTTGCATCTTTTCAATATAACCGTTTTGTCCAAAATTGCGTCTTTTCGACATAACCGCTTTATGGTTAGTTTTAAGGGTTGCGTCTTTTCAAAACAAACCGTTTTGCC